GGGGGGGGGGGGATGATGATGATGATGGTGAATGAAACCTCCTGCACGTCCAACGGGGATCGGATCAGTGTCACCCTATTGTCCCGTTGTGGCAAAGTGGGCGGATAGCAGTGTCTCTCCCTGCCCAATGGCAGGCACGACTCTCACGAGAGTGGAGAGAGGCACTTTTCTGCCATGCAAAATCCCTAAAACCATCATCATTCCGGCTCGGGAACCCACGGTACTGTGTAACAGCCTCCGCCGCTGAGAGATGACAGAGCCAATCTCAGCGCACACACGGCCCTGGGAGCTTGGAGCTGCGTAGAGCCACCGCGCCAAAGACAAGGAGACGCACAGCACCTCTTTTTTTGATCCTGTGCTAAAGGGACTTAAAAGCCGGGAATTAAGGAAGTTTTTCATCCTGCCCGCGTCGTCTCACTCAATCCGAACGTGGCCATTTGCTCAATGTCATCATGATCATCTTCTCGTCGCGCAGTGTACTGCTGTCAGTCTATTATCCACAGATCTTCCTGATCCTGACGAGTGGCAGCTACCTGTAAGTTTGAGCCAATTAACGGGGTCCTTAATTACCTTCAGAGAGTGCGCGCGCTCGTTCTCAGCGACACAAAGACGCACGGGTTTGCTTTTGGTCCCGTTTAACTTTCCTACCGGACAGCGGGCTTTATCTCCCTTTTCCTAATCATTAAACGCCGGCTCTGACATGAATCTCTTTAGTTCTCCGCGTCCACAGATTGGAGATTCATTTGAAGTTGTTTGTATTGTGCCATCCAACTGTAACGGCGCAGGGAGCAGACGTAGCAGAAGTTTAACTTGCGCAGTAAATGTTATTTAATCCTAGGATATTTTCACACACGTCCTAATGTTATACAAGCGAAATATCCCGTAGAGAATACTCATCAGTGGAAACATCGCCGGGGAAATGATCCATGTGGGAATAAACTAATTAGGCGAAAACCTGAACCACCTAATGTGCCGTCTGCTGGTGGATGAGCGTGTCTTGTGAGTAAGCAGTGATGGTTTGTGTCTGGCAGATATCTTTTTTGCAAGATCAGAAAAACAAAACGTTTTGGTAACTGCTACATGGATTCACTTTGGCCACAGAGTGGCAGAGATGTTCAAGACAATTGGATGCTGAGCGTCTTTTTTTCCCTGTGAGGAGAATTTAAGAGAATATGGTCCGTTTTTACGCATGCGAGCACCGTTAACCTGTAAGAGCGTGTGAAAGAGTATCTCTGTGCATTACCTCACCTCGGGTTAATTCTTAGTATTTTGATGTTTTCATTTGAGGACCCACATCTTACAATATCTGCCTGCAACATGCGAGTGATTGACAATATAATGCGATGCGGCTTTGAATTAAACGAGAATTACTCTGGCTTTCTTAAAGCTTCCAAAATAATTACTCACCCGTGCTCCCCGCTCCTTCCCCTGCTGCCCGGAGACCCCAAACCTGATGCTAAAATAGATGTGGTTTTTGGTTTGCTGTTAAAAGTGGGCTGCTAAGTATAGTGATGGCTTGCACATCAAATCTACATACCATTGTTTGTTTGGATTATTTAAGTATGTTTTCTGTTGAGCATTAACCACAAAATACAGAGGAGAACATTTACATATGAAATAAAAAATAATGCAGAGCCTCAAAACTACACTAACAACTGATGTTTTGGCATGTTAAACTGTAATATTTGTAGAACTGTGGGTGGTAAATGAGCTGTCAGCTAAAGGATCTGACCATGTAGAGCTTTTGGGCCATTGCACACCTCACACTCCAATATTGGGGAATTTCACACTTAATGTTCCAATGGCAATAATCTGACCGTTTTCACTCTGTTTTGTTAATATCACACTGGCCTTACCAGTGCGCGACTGCAGATATAGTTTAAAACAGATGTAAGTAGGATTTAGTTATGAATTAAACACTCAGTGCACGGTTCATCTTAAGCTTTTATTTGTGATCGAGAAGCAGAAGAGGGACAATCACATTTAGCACTAAAATAAAAGTTAATCTCCTGCTCTTGGAAAAAAGAAGAGCATTTATTTACTTGACTTAGGTAAGTTGTGTCTCTGTTTTTGTGAGTGCATTCCTCGGTAGAAGATGCGTGCCTGGGAGCTTAATAGTGTGTCAGTAAGGTTCAAGGTGTTCCATGTGATGGAGTAGGTGGCTGGGATCACGCTGTATGCCATGACGTAGACTATAGTTTCTCTTAAACCCAAACTACCCTGTGATGGTATCTGCTCACACTGGCACTGATTTGATGTTTTCAATTACATTTTATCAAAGAAATCAATCATTGTCAGCTCAAACTGTTTCTCGGACATTTAATGTTGGATGTTTAGCGTGACATGTTTTTCTTTCAACCACATTTTGTAACATAGACAGTAACCCATGTTTTGTCAAAAATAATCAACATTTTAAATGTTTTAAAGATCTGTTTCACGCCTACATTTATAGGTGAAGCTGTAGCTGTTAAATAATTTGTGCACAAACAGTTTATTGATCAAAATCTAACATATCACTCTAATGTGGCCTCTAAATTTCAGAGATGGTTCAAACGTGGCAAAAATTCATGCCACCTGCTTCTTAGAAATTAATAAAGAAAACCCTCTTCATCTCTATCACAGCTGTGTTAATATCCAATGTCATCCGTGATCAATCTGCACACTTTGCATCAGTTTATACATTAGATCATTACTCTAATACCTCATACATGATATCACACTCCACATTGTGTATAAATTTGCCATTTATTAATAGCGACTGCAGCATTGAAGCAGACAAATTCTGTGACATTTCCAAGTGTTGTTATAGTTTCTGGTGGTGTTCTATCTGGTGGTAGATCTGTGACCGTGGGTGAGCTGCCCCCAAGCTGCTGGCGTACACACACAGTATACGCTAAGCAAACAGAATGGCATTTGTGCACTCTGATGATTTCAGGGATTTACAAGCTTAGCTCTGGAATTCTCTGTTTGGTGTTGTCTGATGGTTTAGGTTGCCAGTGGTAGACTGTGATTTTGTGAATTAGCAGGTGAATGACATGAGAAAGAGCCAGGAGGGGAAGTCATTAGTTCTGTTTGTCACACTTGAAAACATCAGTGTGTTTTGCAAGAGGTGCACTGAAATATCGGAGATATAAAACACTGAAATATATTTTATTGCCTTTGGGTTTATATAAACAAACCAGTTCTGTTCACCCTTAACGTTCATTATGCAGGACAGTGAATTTCTCCAGTTGCACATTACTTTTCTTAATGAGCTTGACCTTTTGGTTTGTGTAGACTGCATCTCATTGTTGCCATGAACGACCACATATACAGCAGAGGGTCACAGAGGGTCAGAGGAGTTCAAGCCTGTTTAACGGCAGAGAGAGCAAAGAGGGTTCGAAAGCAGCAGCAGGCCTCAGTGTTTACTGCAGACACCGGCTGTCCTAACTTTTGTGGTAATTTTCAGAGCAGGGTTTGCTAAATCAACAGTATACACAATTTCCCTTTTATATACTGTAGCACGTTCCCCTGACTGCACTGAGAAGACCAGGATTGTGTGCAGTCCTCAGCCTGAAAACAGATACTCGCCTCGCTGCAGTTAGGATTTATTTGAACTGAAATTGAGATTTATGTTTTCTGCCTTTGTGGAGAAACTTAAACAACCAGCGTGAAGGGAATATGATTGTCCGAGTACGATTTCTAATCAACGATCATTATATTTGTTCTTCGTCAGGGATGTCCTACCAAGATCACTGTGAACTAGAATCCACAGAAATCATTGCGTCTGTTTCTCTTTCTTAGTGTCTTCGCCCTCTCATGCATTCTTCCTTTTCGCTCCTCTGATGCCGCTGTTGCTTTTTGCTGACACACAACTTGCCTTCGTTAGTTTGCCCCGTTTGTGGTGAAGCCTTTGGAGGTCGACGTCATACTTCAAAGCCGACGTTTGTCTCTACGCTCATTTATGGCTCCCTGCCCCTGACATGTTTGAAAAGTATGTATCTACATCGTTTCAAGGGCTATAAAACAGAGTCGTGGAGAAACTCAGCACTTTGTTTAGCTGTAATCTGTTTTGGTTTTTTCCGTGGTTGCAATTCCATCTTTAACATATGTTCTTATATTATCACATTGAGCGATAAGATATGATGAAGTCTCCCTAAACTGAGAAGAACGTTTATTATTTACTATACACTATACATTCACTATATTACTATTCACTACATATTTTCCATGTAAAGGAGTTATAGGATGTGGGTAAAGTAAAAGTAGTCTATAATGAAATTTATAGGCAGCACTTTACACTCTGAAAACTTTCAAACACATAATTACACAAATCATAAGGAATAATATTTTGTGTGACATTTGGTTAAAAAGTGAACCCTGCATCTACAAGACACGTAAGACAGCATGTGTATATACTGTATCTGCGTAACAGTGAAGTCTGGCAACTATTCATGCCACACGCAGTTACCTAACAATTAACACATAAACCACAACTCATTACTCAAACTCCCACCATCCAAACCAATGTGGAATGGCGTTGTCAGTAGTCAAATAAGCATCTTGTTTTCTGTCTCTGGGCTGTTTTAGCAAGTTTCCCTCTATGTTTTTTTATTATTTTAAGTTGGTTTAACTTTTCAGGTTTTTGATTGACCTCTAATCCATTAAATAGAAATACTTTGATGCAGTACAGCTTTCACTTCACTATGGAACGTGCATCAATCATTGGTTGAATTGAATCCTTTTCTGGACAGTCTCACTTAAGTGAGTCAGTCTGACCATCCTCTGGAAGTTCTAACTGAGTCTGTGTGTGTGTCTATGTGTGTCTGTGTGTGTCTGTGTGTGCAACCATGCATGCATGTATATGTGCGCACGTGTCTGTGTGTACACTAACGTGTGTGTACATGTGTTTCTCTTACTTTGGCAGGGCCCTATCCTCGGTGGTGGCTCTTGGTGCCAACATCATCTGCAACAAGATTCCCGGGCTGGCACCTCGCCAGCGGGCCATCTGCCAGAGCCGCCCGGACGCCATCATTGTTGTGGGCGAAGGCGCCCAGATGGGCATCAATGAGTGTCAATACCAGTTCCGTTATGGACGCTGGAACTGTTCGGCGCTGGGAGAAAGGACAGTCTTCGGTCAGGAGCTGCGAGTAGGTCAGTCTGGGTTCTATCACAGAAGGGGAAGGGCACAGTGTGCGCTTGTGTGTGGATTTGTGTATGTGTGCTCCTTTATGGCTGTCCTTGTGAGAACCTTTTAGAGGCTTACCTGTTGGAGTGAGGATATGTTTTGCACAGTAATGCCATTGCTGCCAGTAATCACTCCTTTAATGGTCAAGGTTCTTTTAGTGTCAAACCTTTATTTAGTTAGAACTAGGATTAAATATAGGTACAGATTTTTGTGTATGTTTAGTTTTGAGTTAATGATTTCTACCCTGCAGGACTCTCTGGGTAGAGCTTTGTTGAAACTCTAGGACAAAAAATGGGCCCCTGTTTCTGTGTGTGAATTAGATCGTGATCATTTAATTAAACATAGCTCAATTTAGGAACCGTGAACAAAAATAAAAACAGTTAAGATCTAAAAATCAGATTTTGACACAGAAATGGATGATGATACAGGATCGATCTTTATTGAAATTCAGTGTTGCAAATTCTCAGACAAATTTATCTAAAGTGGTTTACAGAATTGTTTATAAAACTGATTTGAATATGTCTTCAGTTTGGGCGAACTACTGCTTCACAATGCTGCACTGGAACAAATGGACACCAGAATATACCATGTTATATCATGTTTTTGTAACTTTGAAGCTGGATAAGGGCTATGTCAAGGTTAATGAGGTTAAGGTTTGGAGTGTTGTGAAAGGAATAAGGTAATTGCTTGAGAATATGAATGTTATTAGTGATAGATCTTTACTTTGTGTGTGTGTGTCTGTGCGTTGTTCACAGTGGATCATTAAATGAATAACTGAATAACACATTACAAAAAAGGGATTACAACTTCACACATCCCACATTCACACAACATGGAGTTGTGTGATGCTTTTTCTGCTGCCTGTGATCACTGATGGTAATGATAATGAAGTTGACAATGATACACTGACTTTCTTATTGAAGAGGGAACAGAAACAACATAATGTCTGTTTCGAGCCATCCTATTGTCTCAGTTTTAAGAAAACAGTACAAGAAGAGTATCAAAAATGTGGTACCAGCCCCGACCCTCTGAGCCCCATGAAATATGGCTCTTCATAAGCCAAACCCAAGCTGCACACATCACACAGTCAAAACTCAAACCAGGAACACACACTCCCTTTGACTCTCTATTGTATAACCATTTTGCATTGGCATTGCTCAAGAGGACTTCATATACTGCTGATTCCAGCCCATCTTAGTTGTCCTCTTTTCAATTGACAATGTTGTATTTCTCCAGCATGCTCTGGTTTCTGTTGATGTAGGTTCTGCAGTGAGCCTGTTGGTTAGCAGCATGCCGTCCATTGCTGGATATGCCAAAGTTATGGAAAAGCTACCGAAAGGCACTGGAGCCCTAATGGGGAAAACGTATGGTTGAAAAATGATATCACAAATGAGGAGACAACTAATGGTGTTATTGCAGAGAACGCTTGTCGAACCAAAATAGATGGACACATCTGTTGTTAATCGAGCCAAATTGGTTGTGTCCATGCCTGGCTGGCTCATGACTATGTGCACATACATGCAGAAACAGACAAACATTTACATTTACGATTCTTTTGTTTGAGAGACTTGGCATTCCAGTAACCTCTTCTGCATTGCTTTTTGTTTTACAGGGACTTTTATATATTTCCTTTCATTTAGAAGATGCTTTGTTGCCATTATGCTGCGGTTGGGCTGTGCATTTAATCCAGTGGCTCTGTTAACAATCACTCCTCTTAAGGAGTAGCTGAATTAGCTCCAGCTCCCTCTCCAAAAGCCTTTTTTCTTTGTTGTGAATGTGGCGCTTTCTTTTGTAATGGAACTCATGTTGTTTTCCTCAACACTCAACATCCCCTTTCTTCCTCATTTTGGTCTGTTCTTTTATTCCCTTTTGAAGGGCATAGAGATTTAGGAATAATATTAGGCACTTGTTCATCAGGCACATCTGCGTGTCTTCTCTGCATTTCTGTGCTGCTGTTTACCTAAAGCACTTCGTATATCTATCTGCCTCAAATGGGCACATGTAAGCAATGACAGATGCAAAGTTACATGTACATGCTAAATCAGGCCATTCAGCCGTAAGGGGGCTCTTCCACTTTTCATTGGCGACATCGGCAACATCTACATCCCATAATGGCGTCATCTGAATTTAATGCTCGCCTTTGCTCCTCTTGTTTAGTTTCCATTCTGCACAAATAAATGCTTCATGCACCCACGCTGAGCACATGACTGTTGGTGTCCAGTTCTGGTCAGAGAGCCATGACTGCTGGGCTGCCATGATTGTCCAATAATGATGGGACTTGGTGGCCTTCTCAATAAAGCCCAATGACGTCTTCTTTTAGGCTGATGTTGAACTAGATTTTGCTCAGGGTTCCCATGACAGATTTACAAAGATGTTTTTGATTTGAGTTTTTATTGGGGAAAAAAATATATTAAAAAAATATAATATATATATATATATATATATATATATATATATATCTGCATTTATTTTATTTTACATGATAATCACCCCAAATTTGCCACTTCTCCATATTTTAATCATATCAATCAATCATATATTCCACAGTACTATACACTGTACAGATTAATGTGAAATGTTTTAATGTTAATATAATAAATCAACTCAATGGCAGTTTTGGACTACAAATTGTATTGTTCTATGGACCTATCAGTGTGTCATTGGCACACTGTAATCACACTTATTAACTCTGTTTTTGATAGTTTGTAAAAACTGTGAGAAATGCCTCTGCACTAAGATTAGTCCCCTGTGACAGGGATGCAGGGGCACCGAGTTCTTCCTCCCTCCTTCAACTTAATAGATTTATTCCTCCATTTTTATGGGGGCAAAGGCAGGAAATATCGCATCGTTTGTGCCTCTTAACAGTGTTGGCATATTATGTGGACCCATGGCTGCACTGAGGCGCACATAAACAGCGGATTGTGCACTGGTTTGGTGATGGGGATGTGGGTTTATGGTTTTAGAAGGTAGCACTAGTCCTAACGAGGTTCAAGTTTTGTTTCAAATGTTTAAGCAAATATTTTACATTTTAATGAGTTCTCTGTATCAATGTGATAGTGATATTGAAACAGTAACACACACCCATTTACCCACGATATTATTGTGCAATAAATGTGTTATTGATAAACTGAGGTAACAAGCAAACCAAAAGTTCAGAGATGAACAGGGAACAATAAACTCACTCTGACTGGAACATTAGTTGCACAGAAAATAAAGTATTGAATTGGACTGAAATTAATTGAGAAATCTTTTCACCACTGGGCATTGCTTCATTCTATATTTGGAGGGACACCACATAGACACTGAAAAGTACCTCAAACCTCTATATCATCTAAAATCTCTTGATCAATGCTGCTATTGTGATTTATTTTGGTCGAGCTTGTTCGAGTTCATCTTGATTTTTTTTTTTTTTTGTATTACTACATTACTAGGTTATTATAATATTTAATTGATGTAGGACATATGAGCAGTCAGATGATTAAATAAATCACTAGTGTACTTATATTCATAATATATTCCACTTTATTGGAACAAGAAAGAGGGAAAGCACTTATATATAGTTCATTATAATCGTCTACATTGTCAACATGCAAGCACGCACAACCTTGGTAATACAGCAGGCCATTTGCAGTGGACAGTGTGTCTAATAATTTAAATACTTCTCACTTTCAAATAAGTGGTTAAACTGAAGACTTAAAACATGTGATCCTGTTGGACTTGCTGTCTTGTAATATTGACTTGCCAACATTGTCTTAGCAGTTAAGTTCATCAGAATAATTATAAGAACCAATTATTGCCCAAAGAATGGTATTAGCGTTTTGTTATTTTTTTCTTTATGTAATTGTCGTTTAACAGCGCTGACACTGGGCGGCATGTCCAGATGTTGTTTTACTACTGATTCTGACTGCCAGGTGATGTGTTCATGTTTCTCTCTGTGTCTGTGCTCAACACCTAAAAGAAACCTGTGGATATGAGAGATATGTTGCACTTCTGTCTTACAGACTTGCTGGACTATTAAAACTGCCAGCCTTGAGTCAGCCATGCCACCCACCATCACCCGCTTTTATTACCAGAAATGAAAGGTGAAGTGTGGCAGCCAGCTGACTTTTACATTGACCTACAGTCAATCAGGCTGTTCACTATAAGCAGTCTGGTTATGTGGAGAGTGCAGTGTCCCGTAATGTGCCCGTTTACTCATATTAACTACATATTTTTGTGTTAGTGTCACAGCCAGGGTATGGAGATTAAGTTTTGCCTTTGGAGGGTAAATCCTGTATGAAAAAGAACAATGGTTACGTATTGTGACCCTAGTTTTAATATACATCTAATGAGTGTCTTTGCAGCTTCACTATACATTTATAAGCACACAGACAACTGGTTACTGGGAGAAGTCAGGTTAGAACTGAACTGAACTTTGTGTGGATGAGGTAGTGGGTAGCTACTGCAGGTTGAATGAGCTCATCCTGCAGTAGTATGCAGATTTTATATGTGCAGTAACTTAACTGATGACTGTATTAGTTTACCATTAACTGGTGTTTAAGCCTTTTCCTCTCAGTATATATAGTGCTTTATTTTGTTAGCATGAAGACACGTGATTGTCAAAGCTTAATATTGTGGCTTTTCTCCCTAAACTTTAATCAAGCTGGATACAGGTGTGTGATTGGCTGCTGCATCTTAAGGCAGTGGGATCGAGCTCTCCACTGCTGTAGGTGGGCAGGCAGTCGGTTGGGATCTGACAGTGCTCGTTCAGTTTAGTAGTGTCCCACTAGGTCATCGTGGGAGACCACAGACACCACAGCTACTGCAAAACTCCACTGCCAGCGAGACACTGTGGAAAAGTGGGCGATTTAGCGTTTTCTCTCAACACCTTATTGTCAAACTGCCATCAGCTTGCACAAGACATGCGCAGTTGTGATAGTTTCCAGTGTTTGTTGCTCATGATTGAAGATGTAACCATGTTTTCTGA